ATATTAAAAGTGTATTAAAATGTTATAATAAAAAAATTATTTTGTTCTAGATGTACAAAATGACACTGAAGATTTACTTTATGCATCAGACACAGAACAATCATTTACAAAGGATTTTGAATCCGCTAATTTTACTGAAACAGCAAGTATGCCAATCCAACAAGCAAAGCTTGATTCGAGTTTCAATTGTAATCAAGGTAATATATTAATTGTATTTAATGTTTAATTTTACAATTTACTTTATAGAATATAATCCATTACAGAAGACTTCATATTGTATCCAATGTACATTTGATTGCATATATTGAACATTAAACAGTGAATTCTGTAATGAATTAAATTTCTTTAATTTTCATTAAAGAGCTTCTGCACACAGGACGCGTCAACGCGTTACAAGTCGAGATACAAAATTATATACAAATATAGTATATGAATACAACAAATTTTTAATATTTTACAGAAACTAAAAATTTTCGACGTTTTGTTGTTGGAAAGTTGATAAGTTTGGAATTAAAAAATAATTCTATTGAAAGACATCTAAAGCTTATTATAGAAAAACTTCCAATTACTAATTTTGAAGAAAAAGAAAATGTTGTAGACATTTTTCAAGACTTGCCATTGCAAAATAAAAATGATCTTGACGTAATCGAAGCAAAACTAATTAATGATAAAAGTTATCGAAGTCAAATGGTAAGCCCATATTATTATTTTGATCTTTTTCTGAACAAAAAAAATATTTTTGAAAAAAGTAACAATCTGATGGAAAATACAATTTTTAGTAAAAATATTAGTTTAAATTGTCGTTAGAAAATTTTATGTATTATATTTTTTGAATGTTACATAAATTCTCGTTATAATAAAATTACTAAATTTATTATCTGCTACATTATTTAACATAAACTAATCTATTTAATGTACATAATTTTTTGAGAACAGTAGATATATATTCAACAAACTTTTTTAATGATTTTATAAAGAAGTTTTTACATTAATTTATTATTGAATGTTGATCGAATATTTTCATACAATTTATTAAACGTTTATATTTATTAAAAATTTTACAATTGCTTTTCAAATTTTAAATTGACATCTTTGTTGAGGATTACTTTATATAAAGAATTTTAAAAAATAATTATATAAAAATATTAAATTATATAGTTGTAGCTAATATGTTTCAAAAATAATTATTGATAGATAAGTTTTATACCAATATGTACAGTAATTTTATGTAGAATAGTACTTGAGAGCATATTATTTTTGTACATATTATCAAACAAATATGATAGTTTAATAAAATTTTTATAATGCCTTTTTATAACAATATAATAACTTTTTATAACAATTTCAGATTAAACAATTGTCTCGTGTTACATGTAAAGATATAAAGACTTCGTGTACACATTTGATGAGAAAAATTTTTTCCAACGATTTGGCAGTACATTACAGCTGGTATGGGGCAAAAAAAAAAGAAAAATTTTCGCAGCTACAAATCTGCATAGTGATCATGTGTAAGTAAAGTAAATTCAAAAACAATCTATTTTATTATTATTCTATTAATAAAATAATGATTTCTTAAAAATTAAAAATTATTTCACAAGTATCCAGTAATTTTATCAAATAACAAGAAAGTAGTTATACAAATGTTGATGTTTTAAACATTCTCTTTTCATATAGTACAAAGAAAGTGTACAAGCATTTCTTAATTATTTTAACTTATATATTCTAAATTAGAGTTATTAAATGAAATTTGTTTTAAAATTTATTAATAAACAGATAATTTTTAAAAATATATTTTTTTAGGTGTAATAAGAAAAATATATGAAAATGCAACAGATGAACAAATTTCCTCTCCAATAAAAATATGGCTGGCCCACGCAAAAGAACGTATGGAAAGAGAGAAAGAACATCAAAATACAATAGATTAAGAAGCTGGAATTGTTTCTTCTTGAAGATTGTTTTTTAATATATTTTTAGTTTTATAAACCAAATTAATATTTTGTGCAATACTTTCTTTTGATTTGCAATACTTTCTTTCTTTGGATTAAATAATAATTTTTTTAAATGTATTTTTAGTTCTAAATAATTTTTAGTTCTAAATATGATAAATGATTAATAATAATTAATAATAATAAATATGCAAAATGTAAATGCATTGTTATACACATACTCTGCGACAAATATGGATCGTTTGTAATAAGTGTGTTGTGATTTTTCATTGCTGACAAAACGTCTATCATAAGTTATGTTGACACATTTGTTACTTAGATTAACAAATATATAACATATATTTGTTCTTGTTGTTACATATGTAATGAATATTAATTTGAGTTATCTTAATATAAATATTTATATTAATTTTTAAATTCCTTTAATATTAAGCATTTTTTAATTTTGCGAAATGATAGTAATTAATAAGAAAATTCAAATAATTTAAAAAAAATAAATCACTGAATCACATAATCTATAAAAATTTATTACAGTGATTATACGGATAAAAACTATTTAAATGAAATATTATAAAATGCCAAATGTACAATGTGTGATAAAGCATTATTTAATAAATTTAATACATTTTAATTAATTCCTATCTCACTTTATTTTAAAATGTATCATAATTATAAGTACAATCGCTAGCTTTTGTGTAAAAACGGTATGTCTTTATTTACTATAATGAAAATAATATGTTTGTAATTAATTGTCTCACGAATGATATATATATATATATATATATATATATCTCATTCGTAGAACAATTAATTATAAACATATTATTTTCATTATAGTAAATTAAGACAAACTGTTTATATATATATATATATATATATATATATACATATATATAATACATACATGAGATATACCGTTAACATTCTATAGATATCTCTAGTATACACTACAAGATATTCTCAGTATTTGCTATGAATCAAAATAGGCGGACATTAGAGAATTCTTAGTATATACTTAGTATATCATAGTATGTATCTCGAATGTTCTGAGAATATATGCATTGTACTTTTGCGATATTCTTCGAACATTCTCAGTATCAACATGTGCTGTTAGGGATTTCAATTTTTTAAATTCAAAAAATAAGTATAAATAAAATTATTATTTAAATGTACTATTCAAGTTTTGTAATTTAGACATTTGCTTCAACCTAGATTGCCTTTCTCACTCCTTTTATAAAAAAAACAATAGTTGTGAACTTAAATAATGGTTGAAGTCTATGTCTAGAATTACAATTATTGAGCAGTATTAATGTGTGTGTATATATATATATACCCTAACAGCACATGTAGATACTGAGAATGTTCGAAGAATATCGCAAAAGTACAATGCATATATTCTCAGAACATTCGAGATACATACTATGATATACTAAGTATATACTAAGAATTCTCTAATGTCCGCCTATTTTGATTCATAGCAAATACTGAGAATATCTTGTAGTGTATACTAGAGATATCTATAGAATGTTAACGGTATATCTCATGTATGTATTATATATATGTATATATATATATATATATATATATATATAAACAGTTTGTCTTAATTTACTATAATGAAAATAATATGTTTATAATTAATTGTTCTACGAATGAGATATATATATATATATATATATATATCATTCGTGAGACAATTAATTACAAACATATTATTTTCATTATAGTAAATAAAGACATACCGTTTTTACACAAAAGCTAGCGATTGTACTTATAATTATGATACATTTTAAAATAAAGTGAGATAGGAATTAATTAAAATGTATTAAATTTATTAAATAATGCTTTATCACACATTGTACATTTGGCATTTTATAATATTTCATTTAAATAGTTTTTATCCGTATAATCACTGTAATAAATTTTTATAGATTATGTGATTCAGTGATTTATTTTTTTTAAATTATTTGAATTTTCTTATTAATTACTATCATTTCGCAAAATTAAAAAATGCTTAATATTAAAGGAATTTAAAAATTAATATAAATATTTATATTAAGATAACTCAAATTAATATTCATTACATATGTAACAACAAGAACAAATATATGTTATATATTTGTTAATCTAAGTAACAAATGTGTCAACATAACTTATGATAGACGTTTTGTCAGCAATGAAAAATCACAACACACTTATTACAAACGATCCATATTTGTCGCAGAGTATGTGTATAACAATGCATTTACATTTTGCATATTTATTATTATTAATTATTATTAATCATTTATCATATTTAGAACTAAAAATTATTTAGAACTAAAAATACATTTAAAAAAATTATTATTTAATCCAAAGAAAGAAAGTATTGCAAATCAAAAGAAAGTATTGCACAAAATATTAATTTGGTTTATAAAACTAAAAATATATTAAAAAACAATCTTCAAGAAGAAACAATTCCAGCTTCTTAATCTATTGTATTTTGATGTTCTTTCTCTCTTTCCATACGTTCTTTTGCGTGGGCCAGCCATATTTTTATTGGAGAGGAAATTTGTTCATCTGTTGCATTTTCATATATTTTTCTTATTACACTTAAAAAAATATATTTTTAAAAATTATCTGTTTATTAATAAATTTTAAAACAAATTTCATTTAATAACTCTAATTTAGAATATATAAGTTAAAATAATTAAGAAATGCTTGTACACTTTCTTTGTACTATATGAAAAGAGAATGTTTAAAACATCAACATTTGTATAACTACTTTCTTGTTATTTGATAAAATTACTGGATACTTGTGAAATAATTTTTAATTTTTAAGAAATCATTATTTTATTAATAGAATAATAATAAAATAGATTGTTTTTGAATTTACTTTACTTACACATGATCACTATGCAGATTTGTAACTGCGAAAATTTTTCTTTTTTTTTTGCCCCATACCAGCTGTATGTACTGCCAAATCGTTGGAAAAAATTTTTCTTTTTTTTTTGCCCCATACCAGCTGTATGTACTGCCAAATCGTTGGAAAAAATTTTTCTCATCAAATGTGTACACGAAGTCTTTATATCTTTACATGTAACACGAGTCAATTGTTTAATCTGAAATTGTTATAAAAAGTTATTATATTGTTATAAAAAGGCATTATAAAAATTTTATTAAACTATCATATTTGTTTGATAATATGTACAAAAATAATATGCTCTCAAGTACTATTCTACATAAAATTACTGTACATATTGGTATAAAACTTATCTATCAATAATTATTTTTGAAACTGTTATAGCCCGAGAGACTATAACTTATTATACCATTATAATAGAATATATAAGAGAACATTCGCGAACCATGCAAAACCGCCATCTCAGCAAACCACGCGCGAGAACGCTCGCCGGAAACGCGAAAGACGCTAACGAAGGGATTCGACTTTGAACCTCCTTCGCTTGCAAGTGGACTTTGGACGCCACGAAGAACCCCCATGACCATACATGGTCATGTCGCTAGGCGATCCCCTCCAAAACACCCTCGAAACCGAGGAAATAAAAACCGTCCACCGCGAATCCGCGGCGGACAGTCGTTAATTATAAATCAAAGGAGGACAGTCATTAATTATAAAACAACTAGTACGAGATCGAGGGCTAACTGCTATACTGTGTAACGATTCATTCAAAGAATTATTAAACGCTCTAAATCTAAAACGAGGCGACACAGGAAAGGACGACAATAAGGACAGAAGGCTTGTAAAGAAATCGACTAGAAATAAAGTACGAGAATCTATTTGTAAAATAAAACTCTTATAATAAAAGAATCACTGATACTGATCCGAGGATCCGAATCGTTTCTCCCGGCTACCCCACACCCTGTGCTGCGTCGGGCACAACAAATTGGTGGCAGCGGTGGGATAGCCGAGATCGAGGACCATCCTGGATCCTTAATGCCTGCAACAAAAAGAAAATACAAAAATTAATAAACTGAAGAGAGCACCTGCTACATTAAAGCAGATAGTCTCAACCAGCACGCAACACGCACGGACGACAGTGATAAGGAAATCACGGCCAAGCAGCTGAAAGCCGAAAGGAAACACCAGCGCTCAAGGACCAACGTCGATCCACGGCCAAGGCAACGCAACGCAGACGGACAACGCATCGCCGACGGATAGCGCACCAACGCGGGGCAACGACCCACCAGCAGCATCAACAGTCGAGCGATACGATAAGCGACCCGATAAGTTACGACCATGCGAATCACCGTACTACTACTGTAAGTCGAACTTTATTTAAATGTCAGCACCGCCAAAACAAGTAAAATTTAAAAGTCCGCGATTTCTGAGCGTGCCAGCCCTATTGGCAAATAGATTCGGAACTGTAACTCCGATACGAGTAGCAGAAGAGGCTGCTCGTGATATTCGTAGAAGCGTGCGAAAAAATTTAGAAAAACATTATTCGAGTTCTAACTCATCCGAGGAACACGAACCGAGTAATAACGATAATTCGGTACAAGACGGACCAAGTCGCGTTACAGTACGAAGAAATTATTCACCGATATCAGTTGATATTAGTTTATTCGAGCCACGTGCGCAAGTGAATATGGAAAACGAAGCCGTCGATAGAGAAATCGAGCGCATGCGAGCGCAACAGGCCGAACTAAACGCAGCCGCGGCCTATGAGGACGCAGGTCAGCCGGCCGAAGGAACGAGTAACGTATTACTCGCCGAACTCGTACACAGTTTCCGCGAAATGCAAACCGAAATGCAGTACATGCGCGAACAAATGCGAGAGATACAAACCGCACAAGCAAATTTAAACGAAGCACGAGTAAATGCAAACACTGTCCCACTTGACGTAACGTACGGACGCACTCAACGCGATATACGAAACCGACGTAGCGCAGCCCCGCACTATGTATCATTAAAAGAAGCGCGAACAATGATTCCCGAGTTTGATGGGACGACGCGACATAGATTACAGGAATTTTTAAACGCTTGTACGTACGCGGTACAAAATATTAATCCCGCGGACGAAGAATCGTTAATACAAGCAATCTTATATACTAAATTAAGAGGTAAAGCCATGCAAGATTTCGAAACGCGAGATATCCAGACATTTGAAGAATTAAAAACACAACTCGAAACTTGCTATCAAGCGAAGCAAAGTACAACACACTTACAGATAGAATTTAATTCTTTAAAACAAAAGTCAAGCGAAACCGCCCATGCATTCGGCCAACGTGTCGATATGTTAGCCATGAAACTATATGAGTCCATGGTGGAAGGAGAAGAATGGCCTCCTTCATTTAAACAAGCAATACAAGAAACCATTAAAAAACAAGCGCTGATAAATTTTCAAATCGGATTACGCGATGAATTAAAAATTCTTGTGCGATCACAAAGATATACTTCGCTCCAAGAAGCGATAAATGGCGCAAGCTCGGAGGAGAAGCTTATCGGCCCGTCTGTAACACGAGCATCCGGCTTCTCCTATAAAAATAAATTCGACGTTAAAACGCGACCAACTCGAGATACTAACATACAATGTTATAGATGCGGGAAATCTGGACACTACGGACGCGATTGTCGAAGCAGTAATAAATATACATTACCAAAACCGGAAAAATCCACGCGAATAAACACTTTGAATAAATTTTGCAAATATTGTAAAAAGACAGGACACACCCGCGCGGAATGCTGGAGCCTGAACGGACGTCCTAAAATAAATAACATTAATAATAACCGTAATTCTAAGCCGGTTAATCAAATAAAACATAAAGAAAGCGAACGTGAGCAAAGGACTCCGCATAGACAGAGAAAAAAGAGCACCGACTCCCCAAGTGATAGCGAAGAAGAAGAAGAAGAGGAAGCGAGAAGGAAACAACCGCGACCTGCCTTAGAGTATTGCGTGACGCATATAAAAAACACGCTTACAGCCAAAGGCGAGCTACTGCAGGTATCATTACCAATCCGTGAAGTAAAAGGCGAAACAATAAATATGCTGTACGATTCCGGATCAACAATTTCCCTAATTAAATTGAAAAATCTAAAGGACGATACACCTGTATACGAAAAGAAAATTGCACTCACAGGAATCAGTGGACATAAATTATACACACTAGGGAAAGTGTACGCGACAATTATACTCAACAAACGTGTTATCAAGCATGCATTTTATGTCGTAAAAGATGACATAGCGATCGAGCATGAAGGAATTTTAGGAATAGATTTCCTTAAAAAACAAACAGCAGCCTGCGATTACAAACGAAACCAAATAAAAATAAAGGATAGTATATTGAAATTACATCCATGCAGAAAAATAATTCTGAAACCTCGCAGCGAGACAATCATTAAAGCAGCCGTAAATCAGAATCATATAGGAATAGTCCGAACAAGCGAAGCGGCCCCAGGAGTATATATTGGAAACGGCCTGGTGGAACCAAACAATTTTTCATGTCCTGTGAGTATGATAAACACGACAGACAAGGAGATCGAACTGCTCACTCCAATAGTCACACTAGAAGACATGGAGGAAGATACAGAGCATATAAATAAAATAAAAACAAAAGGGAAGGCTAAAAATGCTGCTTCTCGTAAACAACAAATTTGACAACTACTGCGAACTCAACATTTAAATAAAGAAGAAAAACGAACACTGTTAGAAATCTGTGAAGAATACAATGAAATATTCCATCTGGAAGGAGAACCACTGACATGCACCGCGACGGTCGAGCATGAGATAAGCACGCGTGCCGACACCGCGCCGGTGAATGTAAAACCATACCGATTACCCGAGAAACATAAGGCGGAGGTAAATCGGCAAGTACAAGAAATGCTGCAAAATGAAATTATCAGGACAAGCACGAGTCAATGGAACGCACCATTATTAGTAGTGCCAAAGAAAGCAGATGCATCAGGAAAACCGAAACTCCGAGTAGTCATAGACTTCCGGAAATTAAATGAATTAACCATAGGCGACTCATTTCCATTGCCTAATATTACTGATATTCTAGACCAACTGGGAAATGCGAAATATTTCAGTACATTAGATCTAGCGTCAGGATATCACCAAATCCCAATGGCTGAAAAAGATAAGAATAAAACAGCTTTCTCAACTCCCTACAGACATTACGAATTTAATCCGTTTACGAAGTTAATGCCGTTTGGATTAAAGAATGCACCAGCGACTTTTCAAAGGCTGATGAATTCGTGCTAATGGGAATACAAGGACTTAGATGCCTAGTCTACCTTGATGACATCGTCATATACGGATCAAGTTTACAAGAGCACAACAAGCGATTAAAAGAAGTTATGCAAAGACTGCGAAAAACTCACTTAAAATTACAGCCAGACAAATGCGAATTTTTACGCAAGGAGGTAATATATTTGGGCCATATTATTTCCGAAAACGGAATATCTCCAGACCCATCGAAGTTAACAGCAATAAAAAAATTTCCGACGCCGAAAAAAGTCAAAGATATTCAATCCTTCATAGGATTAGCTGGATATTACAGAAAATTCATCGAGAATTTTTCGAAGATTGCAAAACCGCTAACAAAATTAACAAAAAAATCGGAAAAATTTATTTGGACAATGGAACAGCAAGCAGCATTTGAAACATTAAAAGAGAAACTAATGACTGCACCAGTGCTGAAATATCCTGATTTTACAGAAGAATTTATTGTGACCACTGATGCCTCCGACTATGCGATCGGAGCAGTGCTATCACAAGGAGAGGTAGGCAGCGACCGACCGATTGCTTACGCCAGCAGAATATTAACAAAGGCGGAGCAAAATTATTACTACGGAAAAAGAATTATTGGCAATTGTATGGGTTGTTAAACATTTTAGACCATACATATATGGAACAAAATTTAAGATTATCACGGACCATAAACCTTTAATATGGTTGTTCAATGTAAATGACCCGGGATCGAGATTAATCCGATGGAGATTAAAACTAGAAGAATATGATTACGAAATCATACACAAGGCTGGAAGAGCAAACGCAAATGCCGACGCCTTAAGTCGCAACGCGATACCGGGACCATCGCTAGAAAAGGATAAAGAAATTCTAAAGATAGAAGAAGAAGAAACAGATACTGATAATATAAC